TCTAAAATGGGGTGCCTCAAGACCGTCCATAATTTTAAAAGGGCACCTCATTCCAACATATGAAAAACTATTCTAATAGTTTTATATAACGCAGCAACATCCACACATGTAGGACACCAAACATTAGAGGTGATTTATTCTTACAAAGCAAATACACCTTTGCACCCTGGTACCAGGGGCGGACTGACCATTTGGAAACCTGGGAACTGCCTGAGGGCCCGGGGTCAGTAAGGGGCCCCATGAGATGCCCCTGGTACCTTTTTCATAGGTTTTTTTGAGCTTGGGCAAGGACACAGGGGCCCCATGATCCCCTATTGCCCAGGGGCCCCATGAGTTGTCAGTCCGCCCCTGCCTGGTACTGACTAGTATTCCATTGTTTCTCTTCTCTCTCAAGTTTTCTCCATCATTGAGCTAATGTGACACCAGCACTGATGGAGAGCGGCAGGGGAGGGGCAAACCGGAATGCTGTGCAGGTGACCGACATCCTACTTATCAACTGATGATGTCATTGCTTGTCAAGTCACCGGTGGCTAGAAGGTTGTAATGGTGCACAATGAAAATCTGTGGCTTTGTGTAGCTAAAATGCAGGCTTGTTCCACCCACTGGCTTGTATACAAGTTTGAGGCATTTTGTAGACATTTTGCCAAGGCACCCCTGAGAAAAACCTCAAGGCACCCCAGGGTGCCTAGGCACCCTGGTTGAAAAAGGCTGCTCTGGAGACAAGTAGATACTATGCAGGGATATGCTTTGTTCATAGTTCATGTTTGAGGCTTCAGACCACTTTCAGCTGATCTTTCTTACAAATATGAAAAAAACTACATTTTCCCAGGATGACTGGTTATAGTACCACCTCCCCTTAAAATGAGTGCAGCTTGGACTAGGCCAGTGATTTAATCAATATATCTATAAACCAAGCTTAGGGGGTTTTAGTCCTTAATATTACTGAGCAGCTCGGATCAACACAGTCTCCCTGATGTTCACCATTAGTTCTATCACTTATGCTAATAGCAGACCTTCACAGTCGCAGCCTTTTCCCTAGGATTTGGAAAAATCCCTTAAATAGATTTTTATGGGTTTTTAAGAACAAGGTTATTTTGTGTTAATAATGGGCATATATTAGGCTTTAGATAATTACTTTATGAAACTCTTTGGCTTTCAGTTAAATAAACACAGTTTATATTCACAGGTGTATTGTACTCCGGGGCATTTTGCATGCAAAGGAGGCAGCTGCGGCCAAGTTATTTTCTGATACCGATTTGGTGTATAATTTATTAGAAACAGGTGCTGGGCTTCAGTGAAGATAGACAGGAAACTAAGGCAGACAACATGTTTAACCGCTATTTAAAAGTGCACTTGTTAGAGACACAATGTTTCACGTGTCTGCGGGCGATGTTTGATATACATTGTCCACATGACGGAATGGTTTAAAGGGCCATCACAAAGAGAACATTGTGTGGGATATGAAAACATTACATTAACAAAAGACGTATGTTGGTCTTTGCCACAATTCATTATTTACATGGAAATCCACGTCTGTACCAGAACAGCAAGAAGGACTTACCGGAACAGTTTTGGGCAACAGCTGGATCAGGGACCACAGATGTCCTACAAATGTGACAGTTCAGTTTTATAATCTGGGTTACATCTAATACACCCTGTTCCAAATTATTATGCAAATTATATTTTTCTCATTTACCTAAATAATTGATGTAAATAACAGTCAGCATAATTCTCATGTTATCAACTATTAAGAGTACAATTCACATTTTATTGAACAAACCTCCTAATGATAACAGGATTTTTTTTAAACATAAAACACTTCCAATGCACTGTTCCAAATTATTACGCACAGTAAGTTTCAAAACACTTTATAGGTTGTAAAGAACTGAAAATTGTCATTTGTTGTGTTTGCAGCATATTTACTGAAATCAAAAGCTATTTCAATCAAACTTTTAACAACATTTTAACTTTTTAAACATTTTAACAGGTCACGTTACATTTTAACATAGGACCCCTTATTTGATAGCAGCTTCACAAGTATTGCATCCATTGAACTTGTGAGTTTTTGGACAGTTTCTGTTTGAATTTGTTTGCAAGATGTCAGAATAGCCTCCCAGAGCTGGTGTTTGGATGTAAACTGCCTCCCACCCTCATAGATTTTTTTGCGTGAGGATGCTCCAAAGGTTCTCAATAGGATTGAGGTCAGGGGAGGATGGAGGCCACACCATAGCTTTCTCTCCTTTTATCCCCATAGCAGCCATTGATGCAGAGGTATTCTTTGCAGCATGAGATGGTGCATTGTCATGCATGAGGATGATTTTATTATGGAAATCATCTTTATATCTTCGGGGACCCTAAAGGGGTCGACCAGCTCTGTTCCCATGATTCCGGCCCAAAACATGACTCCACCACCTCCTTGCTGACGTCGCAGCCTTGTTGGAACAGGGTGGCCGTCCACCAACCATCCACTACTCCATCCATCTGGACCATCCAGGGTTGCACGGCACTCATCAGTGAAAGGGACTGTTTGAAAATTAGTCTTCATGTATTTTTCTGCCCAATGCAGCCGTTTCTGCTTGTGAGCATTGGTTAGTGGTGGCCGAATAGAAGGTTTATGCACAGTTGCAAGACTCTGGAGGACTCTACACCTTGATGTCCGTGGGACTACAGAGGCACCAGCAGCTTCAAATATCTGTTTGCTGCTATGTAATGGTATTTTAGCAGCTTCTCTCTTGATCCGATGCATGGATCTGGCAATAATCTTCCTCAATGTGCCTTAATCTGCACGAACCCGTCTGTGCTCTGAATCAGCCACAAATCTCTTAATAGTGCGATGAAATATCTAATGTTTTCATACCTCATCCAAGGCATTGAACTATTTCACTCTTTTTGGCAGCAGAGAGATCCTTTTTCTTCCCCATATTGCTTGAAAATGGTGCTCTGCTTAATAATGTGGAACACCCTCCTTTAGTAGTTTTTCCTTAAATTGGGCTCACCGGCCAATCTAATTATCACAGGTGTCCAAGATTGTTTTCAGTGATCAAAAGAGCCCTGACACACAATGCCATCCATGAGTTAAACTGAAAAACAAAATATTTAATCTTTGTGACACTTAAATAGAATTTGCATAATAATTTGGAACAGGGTGTAGATTAGTTCATGTCTTATACACTAAATTTAAAATGAAATCTTGAAACACATACAAAGAACATAGCCTGCATAGTATTTTAGTTTTTCATCCAAACACAGTTGTAATGTCTCAGACCATCCCTTTTGACAGTACTACTGTATGGTGATACAAGAAACACTGCTTTGGATTTTGGAGAGCTATTCTCAAACGCATCTAATGCAGGTGTAGCAAGTAAAGTAATAAACCTCACAGTAACGCTATTACGAGACTGCAGCTATATGGAGCTCTAATGATTTATAGTGTGACTTCAAGAAACTAACAACCAACAAGCTCACGTTAAACTCTGAATGAGCAAGTGAGCAAAATATCTTTATGTTCTCATCTTGATGCAGGTTAGTCACACTTGGTTTATGCTGTCTTTGTTCAGTTTTGTGCTTGTTCTGACATTTACTTTCTCTGTTTAGTATCCTAAATGTTTGTAATGGTAACTCTCTAACACAAATTGATGTGTTTTTCCATGTGGTCTGCACAGCCACTATAAAGAAAGTCATTTTCTGTAAAATGTGATCCATTTCTGTTTGTCACAATAAACTCGGAATGAGCAAGCGAGCAACATGTATTTTCTATTCTTCTCTTGATACAGATACTGCAGGCTAAATCTTTGTCATACCTTGCACTCAGATCACCAACTATCCTGTAACACAGGCTCCTTGTTGTCTTGTTATGACGTTTCTCACAGCTACTGATCAAATTCAAACCTGCCTTAATGCTTAAATGTGATTGTTAATATGTTGTACAAGAAGAAGAATTCTTGGTGTCCCAAAGCCCAAAGTAAAGGCGAAACTTAAAACTCACAGGCAGTACAATTACAGAATATGATGTTCTTTTTGAAGCTGTTCTAGGCATGTCCAACTGGCCTTCAAATACTGTGGAATCTTACTGGGCTTCTCTAGAAGAAAAAAAAAAGTTATGTTTTGTGTTTTCCCATAGAAACAATTGAGTACTGTCCATGATACTTATTTTTATTTGCACTAACATACAATTTTGAGGACAAGTTTTCAGGGTATGTCCCCTTCTTCAAGGTCTAAGCAGTACTATTACAAATCACAAAGTTTAAGCAGAATGTTAGAAGCAAAATGGAAGATACGTGTTTTCCCATGCAATTTTTATTATAAATGAAAGCATCCATTTTAACCACTTGCCCTCCTGAAGATTTACCCCCCTTCCTGACCAGGTCATTTTTTGTATTACGGCGCTGCATTACTTTAACTGACAATTGCACGGTCATGCAACGCTGCACCCAAATGAAATTTACCGTATTTTTTGCTCCATAAGACACACTTTCCCCCCCCCAAAAAAGTGTGTCTTATGGAACGAATATAAAGCGGCCGGTCCGGTATTTCTGCAGCCACCATGTCAGAATATCGGGTCGGCCGTTCAGCTCTTCTCTCCTGCAGGATCTTACCTGTTCCTCGCTCCAGCGCTGTAGTCTGCCCGCGCCGGCGCCTTCTGTGACAGCCGGGTGCCCACTGCGCATGCGCGCCAAGCGCTGCGCTTTGTGAATGGTCTGGTGTCTTCTGGGACACATGACAGGTCCCAGAAGGCGCTGGGCCATTCACAAAGCGCAACGCTTCTTAAGCATGCGCAGTGGGCACCCGGCTGTCACAGAAGCCGCCGGCGCGGGAAGAAGAGGGAAGGACAACTCCGCGGAAGTGGGAGCGGGTACCTGTCAAATTCAGGTACCCGCTCCCCCTACCCTCTCCAAAGGTCCGCAGTCTCTGGTCATCCCCTGCACTGTCTGCAGTCTCTGGTCATCTGTACTATGTCCCTGGTATTTTCCCTGTACTATGTCCACAGTCTCTGGTCATTCCCTGTATTGTGTCCGCAGTCTCTGGTCATCTCCTGTACTGTGGCCGCAGTCTCTGGTCATCTCCTGTACTGTGTCCGCAGTCTCTGGTCATCTCCTGTACTGTGTCCACAGTCTCTGGTCATCTCCTGTACTGTGTCCGCAGTCTCTGGTCATCTCCTGTACTGTCCACAGTCTCTGGTCATCTCCTGTACTATGTCCGCAGTCTCTGGTCATCTTCTGTACTGTGTCTGCATTCTCTGGTCATCTCCTGTACTATGTCCGCAGTCTCTGGTCATCCCCTGTACTGTGTCCGCAGTCTCTGGTCATCTCCTGTACTGTGTCTGCAGTCTGTGGTCATCCCTGTACTGTGTCCGCAGTCTCTGGTCATCTCCTGTACTGTGTCCGCAGTCTCTGGTCATCTCCTGTACTGTCCACAGTCTCTGGTCATCTCCTGTACTATGTCCGCAGTCTCTGGTCATCTTCTGTACTGTGTCTGCATTCTCTGGTCATCTCCTGTACTATGTCCGCAGTCTCTGGTCATCCTCTGTACTGTGTCCGCAGTCTCTGGTCATCTCCTGTACTGTGTCTGCAGTCTGTGGTCATCCCTGTACTGTGTCCGCAGTCTCTGGTCATCTCCTGTACTGTGTCTGCAGTATCTGGTCATCTCCTGTACTGTGTCCGCAGTCTCTGGTCATCTCCTGTACTGTGTCTGCAGTCTCTGGTCATCCCTGTACTGTGTCCGCAGTCTCTGGTCATCTCCTGTACTGTGTCTGCAGTATCTGGTCATCTCCTGTACTGTGTCTGCAGTATCTGGTCATCTCCTGTACTGTGTCTGCATTCTCTGGTCATCTCCTGTACTATGTCTGCAGTTCATTGGTTCAGAATATTTTTTTTTTCTTGTTTTCTATGTGCGTCTTATGGTCAGGTGCGTCTTATGGAGCACGAAATACGGTATGTCCTTTTTTTTTCCCACAAATTGAGCTTTCTTTCAGTGGTATTTGATCACCTGTGCGGTTTTTATTTTTTGCACTATAAAAAAAAAGATCGCCAATTTTGAGAAAAAAAAAACCTATATTTTTGACTTTTGCTATTAAACATGTCCATTAAAAAAATTTAAAAAATCAAATTTTTTCATAAATTTAGGTCAAAAAAGTGTTCTGCTACATGTCTTTGCGAAAAAAAGCCCAATACATGTAAATTAATTGGTTTACGTGAAAGTTATAGCGTTTACAAATGGCGGTATATATACTGGATTTTTTTGTTTTCGCTAGTAATGACAGCGATCATCGAATTATAGCGGGACTGTGGCAGGCATTTTGACACTGGGGAGAAATGACTTGGTGTCACTGACATCCCCAGTGACACCAATACAGTGATCAGTGCTAAAAAAAAAAGCACTGACACTGTATTAATGGCACTGGGCAGGAAGGGGTTAATGTGAGGGGTGATCAAAAGGTTAACTGCGTGCTGGGAGTGTTTTACTGGGGGGGTGGTGTGTTTGTTCTTCACTGTAAGCACACTGCTTTGGATGGCTGTGCTGCCAGCCATCCAGAGCAGTGTGCCCGAGCCAACAGGGAGGAGGACTGTTAGTAAACAAAGCAGCCCTCCTCCCTGTCGGAGGTCCTGGGTAGTCACCGGCCGGAACCCGGTGATTGACAGCCGTGGCTGCGAATGGCGGCACTGGTAGGGCACCCTACCCGGGAATACAAAATCACGTATATACACATGATTTTGTGCACCCCCGCCTCCCTGTAGCAGTATTTCTGCTATATGGCGGCGGGGAAGTGGTTAGGCAAATCTGTGTCATTCCAGCCTAAGGGCTTGTTCACACTTGGCTGTTTTACCAACGCTTGCCAAACGCCCCTATAGCGTTTAGCAAGCGTTGGTCCGGCGTTTGCGGAACGTTTTTTAACGCTCCGCAAACGCTGCATGCGCAGTTTAGAGGCGGTTGCTAGGCAGTTGCCAAACGTTAATAACGCCCCACAAACGCCTATAATGCAGTTTGAGTGGTATTACTGCTCCGCAAACGCCCCGCAACCGCGTTGCAACAACACCGCAAACGCCGGCTGGGATGAGAATAGGAGTCTTCAACGCCTCCTGACTCGACCAGAGGCATCCGTTTTGCCGCGACGCAACGTGACGGGACACAAACGCTCCCGTTAGAACAGCACCATGTGCTGTAATATGCAGAATTGGCAGAGGCGTTTGGGAAGCGGTAAAAACGTTTCCCAAACGCCTCTCTGCCGCCTGCACACAACGCTCACCTAAGTCCCACTATTGGTCAGAAAGGTTGCTCATCACAGTAGCTGAATAATGGCTTGCAATACATCAACCCAGGAAATAGGTGTTTTTCAAGGCACCGAGGCATTCATGTACTGAGGTTGCTTTCACTGAAAGACTATCATGTTATACAGGCATTGGGGATGATTTACTAAAGGCAAATAGACTGTGCCAGGGGCGGACTGACAACTCATGGGGCCTCCGGGCAATAGGGGATTATGGGACCCCTGTGTCCTTGCCCAAACTCAAAAAAGCCTATGAAAAAGGTATCAGGGGTATCTCATGGTGCCCCCTACTGACCCCAGGCTCTCGGGCAGAGCCCAAGTTTCCAAATGGTCAGTCCGCCCCTGGACTGTGCACTCTGCTAAGCGAAGTTGTACTCCGCAAGTGCAGTTGCTCCAGAGCTTAGTAAATGAAGAGCCAATCACATGCATGGAAAATAAAAAAACAGCATTTTTCTTGGACATGATTGGATGATGGAAGTCAGCAGAGTTTCTGCTCATTTACTAAATTAAAAATATCCAGAACTTTGGAAAGCTTCCACTCATTATTATTCAACCTAATTAAATTACTAATTCAATGTTGATTTTTTTAAAAATGCATGCGCATAATACCACAGAGAGTAAACACACTGTAGATCAAGATAACAGGCGATTAAGGTTATTTACATAAGAAGAATGAAGATAATATACCATTAATTATGAAATGTGTAGTTATTAATAGCTGCATTTCCAATAACATGTCATATAAAAAAAATGAAAAAAGTTTTACCTTAACTTATCAGTCAGTTGCAGGCAATGATTAATTGCTGAGATTAATTTGTGGGCTTGAAAATATGTTTGTAAACTTTTTGAATTGTATCCCAAACTCAATTATCTCCAGAAAATGATGTCATAACAGATGGAACAGCTGAAAGTTCAATTTCCAAATAGTTTTTTTTTTTTTCAAAATGGAAGAATTCAGGTTGGAATTTGGCTACCTTTTATGCTCTGCAGTTTTATATCAGTCTGTAAATTCCGGAAAGAAGAATAAAGCAACCGAATGCATGTGCTCCTGCACTGGACAGTGGACTCCACAATGTCAATATCCCCACATGAGTAAGAAAGGATTGCAAGCCTTGCTGCCCTCAATGGACCAGGGAAATCCAAAGAGAACTGTATATAAGAAACAAAAAGAGGGCACACGGGCCTAGTGCATTACCTTTAAAAATGAGATTTATTTATAAATAGTAAAATACTCACAAGAGAAATAAAATCAGAGCCTGAGGAAGAGGTACAACCTTGAAACGTGTCAGACACCAGCTATCCGGAGGTTCGCAGCCCCCCACCAGACCACCTTCAGGGGTTTTTGGACCACATTGCATTCTTTGCAACATGCTTTCCATTTGATCTGATTTAATTTCTCTTGTGAGTATTTTACTATTTATAAATAAATCTCATTTTTAAAGGTAATGCACTAGGCCCATGCGCCCTCTGTTTATTTCTTATATACATCAGCCTGTAAGTGTCTGATACAGTAAATTACACCCTAATGGGTATGTCAACCTATAAACTTCTATTATTTAGTCCCTTTGGTCTGTTAAATATAGTGTTGAAAGCATTTTGTTATACATGTTTGATAAGTGCAATCATACCTGTTGATATTAAGGTAAATCTTGTGTGCTCTCTGTCTGTGCTGCATTCTTATCAGTTACATTGTTCCCAGCTATCTCTGAATACTACAGAACCACACCAATCTATGTTATGGAGAAGAGGATAGAAGGAGGTTTCTGGAGCCCTTTTCTGTTTCTGTTGTCCTGATGCAGAATTGTGAGTGAGTGTTGTCACTCCTAGGACAAGAAGTGTGTTACTGAAAGATTAAAATAAGGATAAAAGGTTTTAAAAAAAAAGAAAACAAATGCAGCCACAACATTCAAGGACCGGCGGGCTGCAAAATATCACATTTTCTGTTTTTGGGAGATAGTTGCACTATACTCTTGCCTGTTATGATTTATTGTTTTGTTTATTACAGGTACTTATATAGCGCTGTCAATTTATGCAGTGCTTTACACATATATATTGTACATTCACATCAGTACCTAACCCTCAAGGAGCGTACAATCTAAGGTCTGTAACTTACATTCATACACATACTAGGGCCAATTTAGACAGGTTCCAATTAACCTACCAGCATGTCTTTGGGGTTTGGGAAGAAGCCCATGCAGGTACAGGGAGCACATGCAAACTCCAGGCAGGTGGTGCCGTGGTTGGGATTCGAGCTGCTGACCCTAGTGCTGCCAGGTGGAAGTGCTAACTATTTAGCCACTGTGCTGCCCCATTTCTTCTGTAGAAGTTCCTTTATCAGTTTATAATTACTACTATTGTGTGCTCATTAGGGAGGCGTTAGCCAATGATGCTGGCAGCTATGGTGTGTATATATACAGTTGTGTTCAAAATAATAGCAGTGTGTTGAAAAAAGTGAATAAAGCTCAAAATCCTTCTAATAGCTTTAGTGTTTAGTGTTTGTATTCTTTTTTACAAACTCAAACATTCACTATATAAACTGAAAAATGTTTGAATATTTTGCTTTCCTTTGAATCACTTAATGAATATTTAGTTGTATAAGCACTGTTTCTGAGAACTGCTGTCCATCTGTGTTGCATGGAGTCAACCAACTTCTGGCACCTGTGATCAGGTATTCCAGCCCAGGATGATTGTCTACATTCCACAGTTCTTCTCTATTTCTTGGTTTTGCCTCAGAAACTGCATTTTCAATGTCACCCCTCAAGTTTTCTATTGGATTAAGATCCGGGGATTGGGCTGGCCACTCCATAACATCAATCTTGTTGGTCTGGAACCAAGATGTTGCACGTTTACTGGTGTGTTTGGGGTCGTTTGTCTTGTTGGAACACCCATTTCAAGGGCATTTCCTCTTCAGCATAAGGCAGCATGACCTCTTCAAGTATTCTGATGTATTCAAACTGATCCATGATCCCTGGTATCCCTAAAGTGACAGGTGCATTCTGACTGAACTGATAGTAGGTCATATCAGTAAGGTGAGCTGCTTTATGGCGATGGTGGTTACATCACATGGTGGTTTGCAATGTCACAGAAGATTGTGAAGATTTAGGTGAACATTAATTTGGCACTTTTTTTGATCACGTGAATTCTCAAATTTCCTATCATGTCTATCAGAAGATATTCACCTTTATGGACTTTTTGGAGTTTTAAATATATGGCTTTATTTTATAAATACA